TCTTTCAGGGTCGGCGGCACCGGCCGTCAAGCCTTCACAATAAATTAGAAATGCTCATGGCCAGAGCCGTGGACCTCCCCTCACTGCGGCAAGTCTGGACGCGGATCGACAATTCTGTGAGGGCCCCAGGGCCCGAAACTGGGCTGAAGCGCTCAGTTTGAAAAGAAGGCCGCGCCTGGATCTCAAGAGCGGGGGAGGGCGAGGGGAGCGAGAGGTGATGACTGGGGCCAGATGCATCGGGGAGGATGGCACGCTGCGGCGCCCACGAGGCCCAGGGGAAGAGAGGAGGAGCGCGAGGTATAGTGCCCGCTCTTACTGGAGAGCGGGGGTTCCTCACCAGCTTCATGGGCCAAGGTGGTATGACGAGTCGGTTCCTCCCCTCTCCTCCCAAAACCCGACAGTTTCCCTGCTCGGGGGAAGGGTTTACTCCTCCCCGTACCCCCTCTCCTGGGCCTCGATAGGGGGCGGGGGCGAGGTGTTAGAGGGCCCTCTAAGACGGCTTCAAGAGAGCCCCAGATGCTGCAAGATGGCCTCCAATCCAAGATGGCTCAACACACTTCAAGATGGCTCAACATCGTCTCCGACATACCTCCAGGAGGCCCCAGGACCGCTCCAAGAATATTCTAGGCGCTCCCCAAGCCATCCGAGGCACCCTCCAAGAGGCCATTCAAAACCATGGGGAATCAACAGTGTGTTTTCCTTCTCGCCTTTTGCCTTCCGATGGTGTTTGAGGCCCCATGATGGCTCTGAGAGGCCCAAGGGGGGTCCAAGATGGCCCCAAGAGCGCCCAAGAGCGCTCCAAGAGGGCTCCAAGGAGCACTTGTTTGGCCTCCGAGGGGGGGTCCAAGGGAGGGACTAGAATTGAATAATGGGGCCCAAGATTGCCCCACCCGGCCTACCAGACGCCCCAAACGAGCTCCAAGAGGGCCCCAGAAAGGCCCCCGAGGAGCTAAAAGGCTTCGAAAATGGCTCCGAAATGGTTCCGAGAGGCATCCAATACGCATCCAAGAATATCGTGGATCGAAAGCCGCGCGATGGTGTACGGTTGTCTCGTCGTTGCCGCCGTTGCATTCATCATCTTATCCTTCTTCCTCCGCTATTATTCTACTGGTTCGTCCTCTTCCTCTTCCTCTCCTCCTCCTCCTCCTCCTCCTGCTCCTCCTCGTCCTCCTCCTCCTCCTCCTCCTCCTCCTCCTCCTCCTGCTCCTCCTCCTCCTCCTCCTCCTCCACCTCTCGTGTCCTCTGTCCTGCTTCCATTGTCAAAGAGTCAACGACCTCCACGTGACGAGAGGATCCCGAGATAACTCCAGGAGGGTCCCAAGAATACCCCAACGAAGCCGCCGTGGGAACATGTGCAAAATCATTCGGCACAAGCTTCCACCGTTCATTCGGGGTCGGGCAGAACCTCCTTTAGTCCAACGTGGTTTAATGAAAACGACCTCGGGCCCAAACCTGGCGGGCGCATGCCTGGAAAATGACGACCGTGCGCCCTCTCGAGAACCGAAACCAGACGATTCACCAATCGGCGTGTCAGTGTGGGGGTCCTGTCCACCCCCGATTTGTGCGCCCCTGGCGCGTTTCCAGAGCGGCTGTTCCACCAATGCTTCTGCACCTGCCTGATCATAACACCTCGCCCGGAGATCGCTTCTGGATGGGCTGGCCGGGATACGCGAGACGTCAATGATTTAGTCAATGGGCTCCGATACCGCTACTCCAGATTTCGTAATAAAGGGAGGGGGGTCTCATTTCGGGGGGGGTCTCTTCCAGGCTATCTTGGAGGGCCTGGGGGGGTCTGGGGACGGTGTTTTGGAGGGTTCTCCCACGGGGGTGTCTGAAATGGCTTGTCTTGGAGGGTCCAGACCCCCTCCCTTTTATTACGAGATCTCGAGTACTCACCAGGCCTTTCCCTGGGCGCGTTCTGATCAGGATCTCGAGGCGAGCCCTGCCAGGGCCTCCCAGGAAGCCCACAGTGCCAACACCGCGGCCAGCGTAGCTCTTAGGTCCTCGGTCTTCCTCGGCGGCGACGGCGTCCGCGGCGACGGCGGCGGCGACGTGGGCGAGGGCGATGACGAGGGCTTCGCAGGACGAGGGAGCAGAAGCAGAAAACACGTCATGAACCAAAACTCTTGGCGCTCTGCGCGGATTCCTTGGATCCGCGCCGGACCCCCCTCCTGGCGCGCGGAGTGCGCCAAGGGCGGAGCCGGGGGCGCCGCCGAGGGGGCCCGGCGACGATCCCAGAAAACAGCGCGGAGCGCCAAAAGTTGATGTTGATGGACTTTTGCTCGTCTGCGAGTGAGGCTGGCACCCTGCGGCGACCACGAGGCCGAGAGGCTGTCGAACAGGCACCATTCCCTGCGTTCCTATAGGCTTACCACAGCCAGCTCGTAGAACCCAAAAATGTTTTGATGACAAAAACAATGTTCTTAGGACATGAACCCGATGTGTTAAAGCAAGACGGCCCCAGCCAGAACTAGATTCTGAAAACCTGTCATAGGAAAGCCAGGACGCTTCGCCACTGCTCGAGGCCTCGCGGAGCGCCAAAAGCGTACGTTCACGGCGCTTTTTCGTCTTCGAGGGAAGCTGGCACGCTGCGGCGACCGCGCGGCCGAGGAACTGGGCTGCGGTTAGGTCGGGCACGCCCTCCCAAAGGCGCACTTCGGACGAAAAATAAAACATAGTCAATGAAATCAAGCGGAACATATTTAGAAACAGTTTTAAAATACTGCAACCAATACCCCTGTAGAGGGACATGGCCGACTAAAGGCTGCTCGGGCCGGGCGAAAGGGGGGGATAGTAAAGGAGGGGTTTGAGACACAGCTCGCGTAGCTGATTTCCCCGGCGCCTCCCGGCGCCGGAGGCGGCCATGAATCGAGGAATGGGCCCCTCGGCGGGGCCGAACCCAGCTGCCTGCAGCAGATGTCGTAATCCCCCATTCTCCCGATCCCCCCCCTTCCTCCGGCCCGAGCTGCGGCGGCGACCTGGACGCCCGAACCATCCGGGGTAACTCGGGCCCGGGGTAAGTCGGGTTCGGGATCCCGAAAAGCGAACCCGAGTTAGCCCTGACCCGAGTTACCCCTGATGATTCGGGGCTCTGAGCGACGGCGGCGGCGCCTCGAAGACGCGCCTCGCCAGGCCCAGCAGCGCCCCCGCCGGCCGCGCCGGGCCCGCGCCGCCCCCGCCGTGCCCGCCGCGCGCCTCCGCCGGCCGCGCGGGGCCGCTGGCGCCTCTCGGGCGGGGCGGGGCCGTCGGCGTCGGCCGTCGGCGGGCCGTCGGCGGCCGTCGGCGGCGGCGGTCGGCCGGCGGCCGGCGGCGTCGTCGACGTCGACGTCGACGTCGACGTCGAAAGAACAGAAAACAGAATACAGAAGAACAGAGAACCGTGCCGAAAGCAGAAAACAGGAAGAGCATCCCTAAGCCGAACAGAGAAAGCGACAACGAACCGACGTCGACGTCGACGCCGACGTCGGACGTCGGGTTTTTTCTGTCTCCATTTTTTGTGTTTCCGTCTTCGCCCGTCTTCGGAGCTGACATGTGCGGAGGCGGGAGCCCTATGAGAGAGAAGGAAACTGCGTAGACGGGGAGAAGAGAAGGGAGGATGAGGTAGGTCCCTGCGGGGGGGAGTACCATACAGATGCATGTATACACACATCTGTAATGTGTACACGCACCACACTCTTACCCGCGACTGCGGCAAGGATCTGATGTACAACCGCCCCGCAGTTGTCGATAATTGCGAGGGGGCGGGGGGTCGTCGGCAGTTTGCGAGGCTCGGGGGCAGATGCCGAGAAGCCTGCCGCAGGCGCCGATTTCTTTGCAACGCGAGCCCGTGGCAGGCGACGACGTTTACAGATCAATTCGGGCAGGTCGGAGGAGGAGAGGAGGAGAGACGGAGGAGCAGAGATGGAGGAGGAGAGATGGAGGAGAGGAGGAGAGATGGAGGAGAGATGGGCCAGCCGCGGAGCGCATCGCGGGTGGGTCGCGGAGAGGGTCGCGGGTGTGTCGCGGGGGGGCGGGTTGCGCGGGGGGCTGGCGAAAACGATCACCGTCCGCCCCACGGAGGCAAACTGCCACCCCGAACCTGTGGACACTCTGGCGCCGTCAGTCTGCTACACTGTCCTGGGGTACGACTGGATGACGCCGCGCCGCTGTGGTATGGCCAGCATGTAGCCATGCTCATACAGCATGGATCATACGCTGAACGACCTACGATAGGATCAAGACACACGGGCGCCAACTGCGGCGTGGGTGTGTGCGGCTAGTTGCGAATGCGCTCGCATGCAGAGTGTGATGGAACCGCTTACCGAGGCTGGCAAGCGACTGCAATCGCAGCCGCTACAAGTATTACAACAACTTCAACGGCAAGGCCGCAAGGCGAGAAGTGACACAAAAAAACCATATCGCGTCAGATACTCTTGGGGGGCGGAAAGATACGGATACGCGTTGTCCCCGGACCTCTCTTGGGGTGCGTTCTGACCAGAATTTCGAGGCGAATCCAGCGGTGACAACAAGGATTCCCCAGGAGGACCAAGAAAGGCCGAAAACGAAGGGGGACAACACGTATCCGTTATCTTTTTCTCCCCCGATACTCCTCGTGCGAGGACCTGTCGATCAAGGCCGCCGCCTTGGCGTCGGAGGAAAGCGGGTCCTGGTGGACACGGGTCCTGGACACCGCGGCGCCCCCCCAGGACAAGCTGCAAGTCGGGCCTGTCCCTCGACAGGAGACATACTCAATAATAATAATAGTAAAAAAAATAATATGGAGTCGATTATTCGATTATTTTTCGATTATGTTTGACTGTGTCTTATTGTATCTATAATTTGTCGTCCAAAATCCGCCTGGAAGGGGACATGGGGGACGTGCCCGGGCTAACAAAAGGTTATTTTCCCGTCGCGGACGAATCGAAGCATGAGCTCCGGCGGCATGCCGCTCTGGAGCCCTGGGAGGACCGACGTGTTGCAGGGGCGTTGCCCCTGCTCCCCGCTCCGGAGAGCCCAGGCTC